ATAACAGCCTGTGAAACATTTCCTTGTTCTGTAGCACCTCTCATATATTAGTATAATTCTTCGGAGTTTCATATCTGACCTATCACAGTAATTAAAGAGCAACTATTTATTTCTAACCCCCTAACTGTTGACTAGTCTGCGCTGTCTTCACAGAGTGAGTGAGAACACTTGCCTCTTGCCCAGAGGTAAGGGGTATAGTTTGCGATTCTTCTGTGCTCTGAGACCATTTGTGGGATTCAAGAAGAAACTAGAATCAGAATAAAGACCCATTCTTGAAAAAAAAGGAGAGAAATAATTTTGAAAAAAGAGTCCAGTGATATTCTGCTTGGAAGGGCAGAGAATAGATCAATAAGAGGACAGAAGATTGGGAATTGAGGAGGGGATGACTGAGTTACTTGGGTAGAAAGAAGCGAATAGGATGTGGTAGTGAGGCATATGGTAGGAAAACCCTGGAGCTAGTTAAACAAGGAGAATGGATGTTCGTGAGCCAGAAGAGCAGGAAGAAAGGAAGACAGCCACGTGGAGAGGACAACAACTGAAAGTGGAAGGAAAGAGGTAGGAGAAACCTCTACAGTAGGACTCGGTTGTGTAGATGTAGATGTCTGGTACCGTTTTAGATGCCCATCTTTCAGTTGCCACTCCAGAAGGTTCCCTGTCATATCTACCAAACGTACGCATATTTCTTTGTTGCTTTGAAGTGACTAAATATTCTCTGGATATCACTGTTTAAGCAGATGAATTCCGTCCCTTCTGTCTGGATACTGATTGTGGGACTGGATGTGTGGAGGAAAAAGCTTGTGGGAAGATTGGGTGTCAGGCACTGAACACAGAAGGAGAGACTAGAGCTGATGGGGGCAGGGGGGAAGAAGCTTGTGTTGTGGAGACTGAACTCATTTGAGAGGGATAGCCATTCGTGTTGAAGAAGAACCCGAAGACAGAGGGAGGTGGGAGACAACAGGAAAAAAAGCCACTTCCCACTGCAAGTCTCCCATCCAGAGCCTAGGATGAATTTCAGGATTCAGAAGTTCCCTCGTTTATGTGCTTTTTGCCTGTGAAACCCACTGATAAAATATTCATCTTGTTTAGTCTTAGCCTGATGTTTTTGCTATTTTACTTATACGGCTCGTATGGCTGAAATCTATGGAATAGTTTGTAAGCAGTTTGTGTAAAGAGTTATATGACAATAATTAGCTTGCAAGAGTATATCTTCATTTCCATCAGATTTTATAACAGAAGTTAATAGGATCAAAACAGCAGATATATGGATCCTCTTTTAATAAATAAGTTTACAAGTTAATTAAAGATTATGCTTATATAAAAATACATCATTACAGAAGAATATGGTGCTCTTGAATATGCTGAATCAATATGACTGCTTTAAGCCACAGGTAAAATAGAAAATAATTGTAAACAAAATAACTATTTCTAACAGTTCCAGAAGTGTTAGCAGTTCTCGCAATAGGATCTACTTAGCTATTTATATCTGGGCTTGGGAAAAAGGCTTGCTGCTTCAGTTTTTCAACTGCTCCAATTCTTAAATCAGTATTTGCCTGGAACTCATGTTATCTGAAAGAAAATTTTTTCAGAATGTATTTCCATTTTTTTTAGGCTTATTAACCATAAAAAAATGCTTGTATGAGTGGAAATGGAATGAAACGATGATGAATAAAAAGATAGCCAATAGCCCATTAAATTGAAAGAAAGGTCCATCTCTTGTGCCTAATTCTGTCTGTGAATACTTGCGTTCTTTTTCTGGGTTCACAGAATTAACAGCTCTTTAAATGACTAAGTTTTGCAGTTTTGCAATTTCTTATAAGCCAGAGTAGATGATTTCCATTTTTCACTGAAGTTTGATAAAAGTGATCCCCTTAAAGCCTTTTGTTTATGTCAATAAACTGCTTTTTATATATATCTGAGCAATTTAAACTATTGAGGGGTTCTGCTAACCTGTGCCAGTATTGCTTAAAATATGCCTGGAGATTCTAGTCTTTATCTTTACAAATCCTGATTTTAAAAAGGAAAATGAGGATGGGGGTGGAGATGAAGCAAACTAGTCACTAAAGTAGGGTTGACACAGATTGTCCTTTAGAAACAAAATTTTTCTAAGTGTCAGTGTCTTTTCATGTGGAAGGATAAATTGTGCTTTAAAAATCTTCCTACCACAGAAAACAACTGAGAGCTGGATTGAACTGTACACGCTGCGTTACACACTGCGTTATCTGTTGCAAAAGGACAGGCAAGTGCTGACAGTCAGCGTATCAAGGACTGGGGGTTTTTTAGGGAAAAATGTTTACAGGGTCAGAAAGAGTGATTTGAAGCAGGGAACATATGTGGCCTCTAGAACAGATGACATAGACTAAATTAAGCTGTTTTCAGAATTGGTGTATGTTTTTCAAGGGCTTCTTCTTAAGAATACTTTCAGTCTTGTTTTGAGTATTATACTCCAAACTTTCCCCTGAGCAGAAAAATATTTTTGGAGCTATTATTTTTTATATGATAGATATGTAAAATATATATGTAATATATATTTCTTTTATATAAAATACCTTGCATTCTGAACTATATAAAATAAAAAAATGAATATAACAATTTTTATATATTATAGATAGATTTTAATCTTTCAAGGTTTTCAGGTAACACAGATATGTCAAGGAGATACAGTGCTACTGTAATGGTCAACAAGAAACAAGCTCTTTCATTATTTTTCTTTTGGGAAAACAAGGATGAAAGCTCTATCTAGGATAATTTGAAAGCTATGAGTCATTCAGTAAGACTGTTTATTTTTATATTTTTGTTCTTAAAGTTTTATAGCTAAGATGAAAGAGCAGATAGCAAAATGTAGGGTAATTCTTAGTGATTAGTTGGGTTTTATGTCTCTCAGATGGCATATGTTAAGAGATAAAATTGTAATTTGATGTTTTCCAAAAATACACATAGCTTAACAAGAGGCTAAGAACTTTATGAAGAAATATGTGATAAAATTTAGTGAAAAGTTTAGCACTATGTTCTGGTTTGGCCTTAAAAATCTTAGTCTCTTGGTTTGTTAAGTGGGAAATGAATTTTGTCAAAACAAGTAGGGTGTTAGAACTGTGATATTAAATTTGATATTAAAAGTGTGGCTGGAAATGTGTTATTGAAGTCTACTGTATGTTAAAATAACAGACTTCTGTGATGGATGCAGCAATGTTGTGCAACATTCCGGCTAAAAGTTCACTGTGGAAATCCAGCGTAACACGTGCTAGATGGATTTAAATATCTCTTCAAGACTTTTAATGGAGACTCAACAACCCATGTCCAAGGAGAACTTTCAGGATTTTTCATGATCTAGTGTTCTTGTTTATGGCTTTGAGTTGACAAAGAGAAAGTGAATCAGATGTTTGTCAGTAACAGTCGAAGGTACTACAGAGACAATAAAATAGTGAACACTAATAAAATTAAGCCAGCTGTATAGAAGGAAATAATGGAAGACTCCCCAGAAACTTCTTTCTTCCAACTAATCAAATTTTATGAAAGTAATTTCAGGACTTAATTCGGACATTTTTGTTATTTACAAATGAAATAACTTATAAAGCAGTCTCATATAAGAGAACAAGTAGTTATGGTGAGTAAAATCTAAAATGGAGTTTCCTATCCAGCAGAGTTAAGTGACCTTATCAGTTTTAGCCAGTCTTTACTTTTAAGATTTAAAAAAAGTTAAAACTTGATGAAATAGAATTAGTTGACATTAAAGTAGAAGTCACATTTTTCTCTTGATGAAAAATCAAAGCAGCTCCAGCTAGAGCAGGTTGCTCAGGGCCTCGTCCAGTCAAGTTTTGGTCATATCCAAGTCAGAGATTCCACAGCTTTGCTGACCTGTTCCAGTGTTTTGTCATCTTCATAATAAAATAAAATAAAATAAAAAAAAATTATTCTTTTTTTTTAAACTGAGTTCCAACTTGTGTCCCTTGTTTCTCATCCTCCCACTGTGCACTTTCAAGAAGGGTTTGGCTCCATCTTGTCTATACCCTTCCAATTTAGGTAGTTGTGGAGAGCAATATGATCTTACCTTTGTAGTATTTTTCCTTTTTTTTTTCTTTTTTTTTTTTTTTTTTTTTTCAGGGTGTCTGTGTTTGTGTAAACACCTAGCCTGAAGATCTTCATTAGCGTTCAGGAATCTTGAAATTGGCTTCTGTGAACAAAATGTTTTTTCTTATTGCTGGGGGCTCTAAACTTTCGTTTTGACAGCACAAGGTGATGCAGAATTATTGAAAGGATAATGAATCAGCAGTACCAATTAGATTTAGATTTCAAAATTTGATGGATAACCATACTATAATGGAGAGATGGGAAGCTATGACCTTACTCCTGAGAGGCAAGAACACAAGCAATTGAGTCTCGCTGACATTTAAGGCTCTGTGTGTGTGTGTACAGCTAGATAGGTACCTACTTAGGTTGTCTCTCTGTATCTTGTCAATTGCCTTCTTGAAGCAGAATTCTTGCTGGACTAATTACAAAGATCCTATTAGTTCACCAAGCTCATTTTTCTCCATAGATTGGCAATATGAGCATGGGCTCATATCTTTTCTGAGTTAGGCTATGGTTTCATTTTTATTGAATCAATAACTCTCTGAAGATGGGGCATTTAAGTTTAAAGTCTATTCCTGTTTGTGGTTTCAGTTTTGACACTTCTTTTGTGTCACTAGTGATAAAAAGAGGTCATGTTAAATATTTCAAATACCGCATAGGAACAAGCTTTTATGCTGATGCTCAGTGTTGTATTCTGTCCAAAAACTTTGGAATAAAAAAAAAAGCATTAAGTGAGAAAACTATGCTGTTTATGGTGGGTCTTGATACGTATTTGTTTAACTTAGATTTGCAAATGTTAATTGACCATGGTTCCTTCCAGTCTGTTCAAATGTTACAGTCCTTAAACTGGAATAAACATACTATTTTAGTTATCATGCAAACATCATTTATTTGTTTCTTACAAATATTAATTACCTCTCTTGCTCTTTTTTCAGGGAATGTATATCAAATCAACATATGATGGACTACATGTAATCACAGGAACAACTGAAAATGTAAGCTTTTTTTATTCTAAAAGACTTCTATCATGCATACAAGTATGTTCTGTATATCTGCAGTGTAATTTTGTAATATGAAAACTTGCTTTAAAGCAAGCCACTTTTTATTAATACTTTCTTCTTTTTATTTTCTGTACATGTATCACCTCTGTAAAAACTCAGAACCCTTGAAAATAGACATCGAAAAATATCTATGATGAAGTGACTAATAACTAACAATAGAATAAAAAGAAAATCTTGAACTTCTGTCCTCAATGGTTCTTCCAATACACCTTTCTAATAGTGTTCATGTATATGTTCTTTCTGGCACAAAAATGTCTTCCTTTATATTAAGTAAATTTTTCTCACTTAAGAGCATCATCATTAGTCTAAAATAATGTCTTTTGTGTTTAATTTTTCTTCTCTACTTTAGATAAATCTCTCAGAACATAGGACCGTTCAGGTTCATATAAAAAAGAAGTATTTCTACTGTCAACAGAATAGTAGAAATAATATAACAGGGGAAAAAAAAATGTGCCTCAGGTGTTTATATTGACCAGAGTAGTCACAAAATTGCAGTTACTGATAAGCATAGTTGTCATCTGAGCAGCCTTAATATGTACAGTCAGATTACTTTATGCAGTGAGTAAATATTGTCATACAATGATGAATCCTTTTTTGCTCAGAGTTCTTTGTTTTCTTCTTAGAATGAACAGTGGGTATTTTTGTGATATTTTTTTTTGGTTACCAAAACATATTACCAAATTAATTTAAAAAGCGTGTTAGAAAAATTAGACTTCTGGAGATGATGCCTGTCCTAGGATTGACTCATAGAAAATGAGTAGCTTCTGCATGTCTAAGCAATTCAGTAAAATAGATTGTAAAATAATAAATTTTACAATAGTTACAATATCAGCAGTATGGGTGGATGTAAAAGACATGGATAATGGAGAAAGATAACTTAAGGTATTATATTTAATCTTTGATAAACCAGAAAGTTTTCAAAGCTAGCAGTAATTACTGCAGGACTATCACTAAAAATGGAGAAACTGTGGAAAGGAGCAAACAGATTTTGGTACATGAACAGAAGAGGACGGATGACTTGACAATGTTAAAAAAACAAGTTAATTAACAATCCAAATGACTGTTGTGTGAGGATGTATAAAAAGTTCTTTTATGAAAATAACCATTCCTGAAAAAATTGTATTAGGACGAGTTCAGCACCATTGTATTTTCATGTTTTCCATCATCTGTAGTAAAAATACAGAAGAGACCAAGAAAAATATATTAATAATCATTTTCCTTGTAGTCCCAGAAGTGTTAGGCAAATCTGAACCAAAAGTACACGAAAATGCTGCAGCACATAAATCAGTATGACTGATCACAGAAGAACTAAACAGTGTGACAAGAATAACAAAGTAGCTTCTAAATATCCTTCTTGTTACTTAACTTGCAATTCATAATTATAAATTTCAAAAAAATAGATTGACTTCAACTGCTGCAATCTAATTATTATGACAGGCTTCATAATAGGACCTATCCCTTCTGTTTTTCATATAGTGTTTTAGTCACACTGTTTTCATTCAGTCTTGGATGTGTTTAACAGCATATACCTGGATAAATTACAAGTTTAGATTTTATAAAGCTAATATTGAAATTATGTAATGCTGACACCCACAGAACATAAAATAAGCACTGCGCAGCTAGCCAGAGATGTAAATGCTTGCTGGCGTACATCAGTGGTATGCTGGCCCATATGGGTGAGCTTCATATGTGGTATTTTGTTCTGCTTGGTTTATATATACTTATTTATGTAGTGTTGCATCATAGAATTTTTGTCACTCAGTGTTTAGACAGTGCAAACCCATGGAAAGCCTGACAATTTGTGTGTCACAATTTGTGAAGACAAGTCTAATGCAAATTAAACTTAAAATTTGTTTGCTTGTTTCTATTAACACCATTGGCAGCATTTAGAAGTTTTAAAATAACTATATGTGTTTCTTGGGTCCTGAAACTTACGAATGATCCATCTTGATTATGTTGCAACAGATTTTGTTCATAGATTGAATTACTCATGCTATAATTAATCCACTTTTTTTAATGTAATTCTAATTCATTTTAGAAATCTAATGCAGTTTGTAGGGAAAATATTTATATATTCATAATTGAAATTCACAAGAGGAGTTACTAAATTGCCAGCCACTAAAGTTTTTATTTTTATTTTGACTAAACTTTAGATGTCAAAACTTCTTGATAAGACACCACCATTGCTTTTTTGTTTTTGCTAAAAGCGTAATCACATCTGCAGATAAACCATCTTCAAAGACCTTTAATTTCTGGCATTTCGGCAAATTGATTTTTTCACTGCTTTTGAAGGGGAAGTTGACCTCAGAGCTAGTGTTTAATTTTAAAAGATAATAAGTAGCTCAGCCTCATCAAAGTCAGGAAAGGATCTAAAAAGGGAACCAGGCCTTTGCTTTTCTAAGTAACGTCAAATGAAGTTAAACATTATGAATGGTGGTGTTTACTTCAGTTTACTGCTTACCTTTCATTCACTGTTTAAAGCAATCAAGTTTGTATTGACATTGAATTCTAGAAATATCTTTCTGTTACATGTTTAGTCCTGTGCAAAAGAGCAGTCTGCCAAAAATTTCCACTAAAGGGAGACAGTGGCACTGGAGCCAGGTAGTTCTTCACACCATCCCATAAACTACATAGGTAAAATCCTGTTTATTTTAGTGCAGAAGGATTCAGATGGCAGGAGTTGATATCTGGCTGTCATGACCAGCTGGTTTAGCTCAAGGGCTGGACTCCCTACTACAAGGGAGACAGAAGCCCTTATGAAAGAACGAGCAGAGATCAAGCAGGTGAGGAGTTTGCACATAGCTTGTGTTGGGGAGGTTGGGCAGAGCAAGGTTGGGAATGATAAACAAGCAGTAGGCTGAAGGTAAAAGCTATGCTTGGAATAGCACCTATAACACACTTGGAATCACTGTGTCAAATATTGGCTATTTGCCCTATTGGCTTGTTTCTTCTCATTGAATAATGAATGATGTCTCCTACTACTCTCCAGCAGCTGTGTAGACTGCAGAATCTATTGATTTGTCAGCAGGTGCTGATTATTGGAGAGTGATTTGACCTCCTCATAGATGAGTCTCTTTGGCATTTTATTCAGAAGTAATTGTAGTCATTTTCTTCCTAGTAGTGATTGGGGTGGTTTTTTTGTATTGTTTCCTCTTATCTTTGTTCCTTTTAATTGTTTATCCTATGTTCTTAGTCTCCATCCACCAAAGGGATGGAAATGATGGGTGGGACTTGTGGCTGGTGAAAACTGTCCAGCTGAAGAGCTCTTGCCTATTTCCTGGAAGTCTTGATTGGTACCCAGTAAGGTCATGAATATAAGCCTCTACAAGTCACCTTTTGTTCAGATAAATCTTTTCTTCCTTCGCATTTGTACCTGGCTCTTGTGCCATGGGCAATTTATATTATAGGCTGCCTCCAAAAAACATCCAGGACCTGAACTAAGTTTTGATAACATAATTCCTTTTCTGTGAGGAACTTCTTCAACAGTATTAGAGCTAGACCACTCTCTATAGCTGGCAAGGGGCTCTTTTTCTGCCTTTCTTAGCAGTCTGCTTCCTTGGACAGGGAACTTGAACTGTTACTCGAAGAGTATTTTGCTTTAAACATTTCTGCATTGTTTGAGACGGGACAATCTGTCCTCTCCTCTCTCTGACTCTGTATCTAACAAGTAGAGTAAATATTCAACCTTGTCCAAGTCTCCTGGCTGGTGTACTTCCTCAATAGCTAACTTCCACTGTGATTTATTTCTTAAGGTGATGTCTCAGCTTTCTAATTCTTTTCTGATTATTTTCTCTTGAATTTCAAGTTGGTGTACTCTCAGTAGAACACTTTTGTAAGCTAGCGCACAATGCAAGTAAGTTGCTGTGAATTCTCAGTTCTCTACTGAGTATGACTGCTGATCTCCTGCATGCCTTACAGATTTATTTTAGAGATTTAAGAGCTGGTTTCATTGAAGCATTTAAAAATGGGTTGCTAAATAGCAGTTGACCATGTTCAAGTAGCTTTTCAATGGGTTTTAATCGATTTTATTGTGATCAGAAGAAGCTATCTTTTCTGTTACATGCATGGTTGGTCCAGCCCTGTCCCTGACCATGCAGTAAGCTCGGTATTTGTTGACTTAACAGATTTACTTCTGTATGATGTAATTTCACTCAGTGTATCCTCAGCAAGATTGTGACTGCTCATACTCCCGACAGAGAGGTAAAGAAGCTCGAATAGTTCAAGCAGTCAAAAAGGCTGTTCATCACCAATGGAAGTGGGATTCTAGATTACTTCATCAAATTGCCAGCTGTAGCCAGAAAAAACATAGTTCCTTATAAATACAGTTTTTATAAATATGACCAATTATTGTTATTTGATAGAAATAATACTTCTTTAGGCACAGCTTTCTTGCCTCCTTCAACATTCATTGTTTTAATTCCTGCTCTTCCCTTCCCCCTCCACACCCCCCATGTAAAGTTAATTATTATCTTTTGTTCTTAGTCTCCTGCTGACCAGTGTAAGAAAATCCATGCTGGTGATGAGGTGATCCAGGTCAATCACCAAACCGTGGTAAGTATTTTGGAAATTTTGTTCTGCAGACTTTTCCTATTCCCACTGATGAAAAGGTAATAATTCTTCTTAGAAGGTAACTTTGCCAAACTAGATTATTATTTATGTGTTTTAAAATATCACAACCACTGCTTATGCTTAATAAGAAAAGGCACAAGTTGAGTCAGTAACCAGCCCAGAAGGATTAAGCCAAATTTACATTTTCCACTGCTGCTGTTCAACATCATACTCTTTCTATAAGGAGATCCTAGAATATTTCATTGAAGTTCTTAGACTTCTCGTTATGGATATGCCAGCTGTTTTAACTTTTTCTCTTAAACAGAATTTTGCATTCTGTTTAATATGGGTTTCAGTTTAAAAACGCAGAAGTGCTGTAACAGCCATATATTCTGAATCTTCTGAGGGAAAAAAAACGTGAAGACGATTAAAGTGTTGATAAAACATCTGTCAGACTTTGCTTTTGTGCATTCTTGCATGCAGATTTACTTTTAAACAGAAGAGCAGTTTTATAAAGTTAATGAAACTATTAATCTGTTTAAAATCACGTAAGCCTGTGTATGCAGAAGTGTATACTGGGCCTAAGGTATTGTAGTGCATGATTTGCGTACATTTAAACGTGCCTACCATTGCATTTCTTTCACAGCTGTATGCTGTGTTGTGTAACTGTGTGTATACAAAACTACATTTCGTTTCATGTAGAAATGCAGGAATAATATGTTTCTGCAGCGTTCATAGAATTGTATCCTGACTTAAAACACAGGTGGCTTCACTGAAGAATTCATAATATTTTTTTTTTAGAATAAATTATTTCTAATTGAGCTTTGAAAGCCTATCAGAGCGCCTATCTAAAAGCCTATCAGAGCCTCATCCAAGGTTGAATGATTATATTTTTCTTCGTATTTTGTGATGACACAAGCTGCTGCCTTATAACTGATGTTAGTTCCAATGTTGATGATTACTGAAAAAACTGCAGTCAGATTTTGTCCCAGTACTATCTTAAGTCATAGGGTCTGTCCCTTTAAAAAAAAAAAAAAATTGTATGTTGCAGAGTAATGGAAGCAGTGTTGCTGGAACTACATGTGAAAAGAACACTTGTATTTATTACCTATTAGGCATGAGTAGCGTTGTGACAATAATGACAACTTCCTAAAGTGCTTGTAATGTAGCCATTTAACTTTGTCTTGCTGAACCCCATCTACAAACACGGCAGCAGCAAAATTAGGAAATCTCTTTCTGTCTGTCATTTGTGTGAGGTGGAAATATGAAAGTCTGACTATTAAAATCTTATGATTAGAGAGCAAATATTTTCTCTTGAAAAGATCTATAACAGTCATTTACACTTTAAATCTTAATGCAACATGCAGCTCTTATCTATATTAGAGAGGTTCTATGAGTTGTCATAGTTCTAAGTTGAAATATGCATTAGACTGGCTTTCTCCGTCAAACGTACTCTTCAAGTGACAGACCTGATTTAATCTTTACTCACATTAGGTGAAATCCCCTCATTCAACTACTCGAGAACTGGCTCTCTGAATAGCAGTTCTTTCCATGTGTGTTACTACAACAGGCCCAAGGTGTTTGATACTTGTAATCCCTTTCCAGCCAAGGGCACAGTACCAAGAGCTGAGTCGAGTGGCATAAAATACCTTTTTCTAAAAAAAAACGCTATTAATTATTCCTTTGGAAATCTATAACAAGGTAAGAAAAGAGATAAATGGCAAGCTGTTTCTTTTGGAAATTTATTCTTCCTTTGAAATGGCTGAGAAAGTCTCATTCTGCCTTCACTGTGACTTTGGACAGTCAGTAATATTCAGTGTTTGCATGTTTCAGAGGCTGCATGTCCAGCCCTCTTCCCCTCATGGATTGGAAGTTTTAACGTTTTAAGTATCCCTTTGATCTTCAAATGTGCCCTTTAAGTCAAGTCACTTCTGGTACGTCTTGCTGCAAACTACACTTAGCTGTGTTCCTTCTTCACCCAAGTTATCACAAGTTGTGATGATTGATATCATGCTTATAATTGTCATTATTTCTGTTAGCGGACTAGAATAATTCAAAGGCAACAGCTCATTAAATGTCCACGTAGTCAATATTTTAATACTAGCAAGACCAGCTCATAAAATGAAGTGTAACCCATTTGAAATTAATTACCACGGGGGGGCAGGAGGGGGGCTGTTGCGTAACCTTACAAAAGAAAGCCTTGCATATCTGTGGTGGTCTTACAGGTTTTCCAGAGCTGTAAACTGTTGCTCACCAAGTAGAGGAGCATGGGTTTGTGCCTGCACAGAGTCCTCGCTAGAACCGAACACTTCCTCATGCCAGCCTTTGACTCCACAGCTTAGCAAAAGCAAGCGCTAGTAGAAGTAAAATTGTAAAAGAGAAAAATACAAAGCAGTTTGAAATTATACCTAGCCAAGGTGTGCTTGTTCAGCTGCTTTGTACTTCTCACTTCTCTCACAATGTTCTCCAGCCATTTTTCTTGCCTGGTAGCTGGTAGCGCCGTTTCTACCATTAGTTTGGTTTCTAGACTGGAGATTAAATGCTTCATTCTTTCTCTTGCTCGCTCTTTCTCTCGCTCTTTCAGTTTTTTAACTGAAATGTCGCATCCTCATTCCCTCTAAAATAAAATTGCAGCAAAAGTTTGCATTGATTTATAACCAGTTATGATGGCTTGCATTTTCTCTTTACCTTGTTCTGGAGCTGAAAGAAGTGGAGTGTTTCTTTATTTCTCTAATGTATCATTCTGTTCAGTTTATTTCATATGAAGCATTTAGCATTGCCCTGAGAAGGGGCAAATTATTACATTTATTATCCTAAATACTTCCTGGGTTGTCACAGCATTTTCAAGATAGATAGTTAAGATATTACTTACAGTATATGTATCCGGTGAAATCCATGGTCTCCAGTGTCATGTTAGTTTTCCATAGAGACTCTACTTAAAGCATTAAAAGCCTAGGTAATAAAAATATAGGTGTTATTCCTTATTCCTGCTTTTACCTGTTCATTGGTAAGGGAGGCTCTATGCTTTCATAAAATGTACACGCAGGTTAAGTTATACAATGTAAAGATGCAGAAATATACTTTCTTCAGATATTTGTATGCTTCAGAGATTCTGCATCCCACAGATTTTACCTTTGCTATCCTAACAAAGACATTTTCTTAAGATCGATGTTTCTGTAGCATTTGGTAGTCTATCAAATACAAATCCCATTCAACATGATGTGTTGTGAAAGAATCTGTTCTGAAGATGATTAGATATAGTCATTTTGTATTGCCACTAGTGAAAATACTTTCCTGATAGAGAAAGTATGGATCTCTTTTAATAGATTCCGATCCTATAACTGACTACTGGCATCATTTAATCTGATTTTGACCGAACTAGGCCAATGTATTTTCTGGATAAATTCATATTGGTCATTTCATAAGATCATTTGAGTTTTAAAAATTTCATTGATGTTCCCATAACCTGTAAAAAATTGTTCTGATAGTTAATTATTCTCATTGCTGAGAATAATAAGAGTCATTTTATTTGTAGTCTACATTTGTCTGGCACAAGCTTCCAGTCCCTTGATTTTGATATATTTTTATCTATGAGATTGGAGAGCAGGTTTCTCATTTAGGTATTTTCAGGATGCAATCAAATTACCTCTTCACTTTTTTTGATAAGCTAGATAATTTGAGCACTTCCAGTTTGTCATCCTAATGCATGACCCTCCTCAACAAGCTCTTTAAATTCCCAACTGTGATACTTTGCATATTTAACACTGAGCTGCAGAGCTGTACAATGAAAGCATTCATTCATGGGTAGGGCAATACTCCTGTGCTGAAATAGTACAAATGGGATTACATTAATGTAGCCATTACCGACTAGCTGTTTACTCCCGTTAAAAGGCTTGTGTTCATTTTTCATTCATACATAGGCAAAAATGAAACTAAGAGGACACTTTTCTTTGATTTTTTTTTTTTTTTCCTTTAAAAACAAACCTTGTAATTTCAGTTCGTTTAACTCGTTCTATCAGGAAGTCCCTTTCAAGGGAAGAATCATTATCTGTTTTGAAACTGTGAGAGAAGTAAGCTTTTAAACTGGTTTAAGAAGACGTAGACTTGGAAATGGTAGTGTCCCTGCACTCGAGTGGAGTCAGCACAGATAACAGCATTTCTAATCCTGGAGGCACTTCTCTGGGGTGGTATAGCTAGAGCAGGGGATTAATTCTGCTGACAAGGTCAGTGCCATTGAATTGCTGGATGCGTGGACTTAAGCATTTTGGGATCAATGTGACTAGAATACTTTGGCTGTATGTTTTCAAAATTATCGTTATTACCTACAATTAGTACACTCATTTTATATAAAACATTATCTGTAGTTAGTAAGAAATATCAGATAGCTAGGAGGTAGCTATATTCATACTTTTTTTTTCTCCTGAAACCAGTTATATTAGCAAATACATTAAAAATATTAACAAAACGAGACCACTTGTTTTACTTTACTTTTCAAATAACTTGTCAATGTAGTTGAGAGTTTAAAAAAAAAAAGTTCAGAAAGTATCAAAGGAAGGCAGCTTACAAATTATATAATGCAACAATTGAAAGACTTAGAAATAAAAGACTTGCTACGTGGAATCTGGTCTAACCAAGGAACACTCTGTAATACAATTATAAAGATCAAAGAAAAAATAATAGTACTTTAGGCAAGAAATTAATTAAATCAGGCGGTTCACCACTGGCTGTTAACATCATTTAATCATTATCCGATTTCCTTATTTGCTTTTCTGCTTGTCCTTCTTGCTTATTAGATTTTAATAAAACAGCATAAAAAACTTAGAAAATAAGTTACACATTCTAAGTGACTGCCACATAACTCTGTTTTTCCCTGCAGTAACAACAGGCACTAGTTCTGCCAGTGCCTTGTAGATTTTTACTTCCTCTCTTATAAAATTACACAGAAGTGCTGAATATGCCACTGTGCATTTATTTGTTTGCAAAATTAATAATTACACCTTAGG